TATATATATATACATATACACACACACACAGATACGGACTTGCAGGATTGTGAATGGTGTATATGTGCTCCCTAGGTTTCTCACCTACAAATGGTGAGAGGGCTCCATGGTTTGTTTCACCTATGGATAAAACAAACTTTTGGATTCTTAGACTTTAATTAGTCCTGTTTTGCGTCCGGAAGCCGGGAGGCTTTAAAGAGCTTCAGGTGGCTTAAAGCTTCTATTCCTAGGTCCAGATCTTACCTGTTAGCCAGACCTCATGAATTAGTCTCAGTGGCCCTCAGGCCTCCATATATGTGACATGACTGATGTATAGGGCTTCTCTCTCTCTGCTGTGGGAGCCTGCTGCTGTGTGAAAAGGCTGAGTGGTGTAAGAACACTAAAAAGGTACATGTGCCACCTGCTTGTTTTTAGGAACCCACAAGGGGCATTCTATTAGTCAGGAACTAAATTTAGTTACTGGATCGGGCAAGCAGATGTTTTGTTGGTTTAGTCTTTAGACTTCCTGTACAAAGCCCTTCAGCATTGAGCTGTGTTTGTTTGCTGCCTTGCTGAATAAAAGGGCAGAACAAACCTGCTTGGACTGTTCCTGGGTGCCCCAGTCTCATGCATGGTTTATCTCTGTCACTACCAGGGGAACATGTCCTTGTTAGGCTGTTACAACAATATATATATATACAGTATATCGAGAGAGAGTAAAAGAGGAGAAAGAAAAGGATAGAGAGGCCTAGAAAGACATAAAGCAAGATACATTGTAAAGGATAGAGATACATTTAGAGAAAGTGGGATAAGAAGGGAGAGAGATGTTTTACACTTGCATCGTGTTCTTTTAAAAAAAAACAAAATGTAACTCTTGAGATCCAAATGCTGCTGGTGTTTTTCTCACAGCTAATATTATGCCATGCACATCACACTTTCCTTGAACACGACTTCAGTGAAAATAAATAATAGGAGAATTATTCATTAACGTTTCCACGCCGCAAAATCCCAGCAAAGCGAATCCAGAAGACTTGTAAGCTTCTGTCTCTCTGTGAAGCTGCTGGGAATCAATACAGCGTATGTGTTTGAGGCTGTTTGCTCCCAACACTGATAAATGACCATGGTGCTGACTCCAGCGAACTACATGAACAGCGGGAAGGCACAAGTTACACTCTCTGGGGTTGCAGTAATTGGTGTTGGTGTTAGATGTTGAGAAAAGGCAAACAATGAGCATTAAAGCTGAAAGTGTCATGTAACTCTGTCATTAATGTTAGTGCATTAAAGGGAGTCTGTCCATTATTACATACGTGAAGATTATTCCCTTAAAGGGACACTATCAGTAAGAATTTATATTTAGTTTTAGTCTTATCTTTACCTGTATGTAATTTTAATGAGATTGTCACGTTCATATGATTATTGTGTTCATATGCATATTTGTAGGTGTGTTATATATCATCAATAATCAGCATTAAAGCCAAGGCATTGATAACTCTATGTGCTACAGCTTTGTATTATAATGTTGTAGCTTAACTGTGGTTATATGGCTGCTGGAGACCCCTCCTGTGCTCTCTCCTAGTATACAGCTGGAGACCCCAACTACATTTACCCCTAGCCTTTACCTGGAGATCCCCTCCTGTGCTCACTGTTAATCCTTAGGCTGCCGAAACCTGCTCCTCTCACTCCTTGTCTCCAGCTAGGAACCCCTCCTGTTCTCATTTCTAGTTCTACAGCTAGAACCCCTTTTCTCCTAGTTTCCAGCTGGGGAGCCCTACTGTTCTAAGGCCCGGTTCACACCTGGGCGTTTTGTAGCGTGTTCCTACGCTCTGCAAAACGCTCAAACACCGAAATCCCATTATTTCCTATGGGTATGGTTCACACCTGGGCGTATTAAAGCCCGTATGAACCCGCTACAAAACGCCCTACGCCCAAAGAAGTACAGGAGCTTCTTTGGGGCATTTTTGTTGCACGTTTCCATTGGGATACAGCCATCTAGCCCTAGGAAACGCGCGTTTGTTGCACAGGTTTTTAACCGTGAATCGCGCGACATGAAACGTGCGACAAACGCGCATATTCGATACGCCTAGGTGTGAACCCAGCCTTACTCCTAGTCTCAAGCTGGAGTCCCCCTTCTGTGCTCACTCAGAGTCTTTAGCTGGATCTTCTGCTGGTGCCCATTCCCAGTCTAGACATGGAGCCCCTTCCTGTTCTCAATGCTAGTCTCCAACTGATGGACCCATCTGTGCTCAATCCTAGTCTCCATCTGGGCACCCACTGTTGTGGTTTCGGTGTTGGCTTGGGGTGATTAGGGTGTACCCAGGCACACCCTGTGCACATGCCTACTCTCCAAATGAAGACTTCTATTGCTCTCATTCCTAGTCTCTAGCTGGAGATTTCTATTGCTCTCACTACTAGTCTCTAGTTGGAGACTCCTATTGCTCTTGCTTCTAGTCTTCAGCTGAAGAACCCTCATGTGCTCACCTCTAGTCTTTAATTCGAGACGTGTCCTGTGCTCTCTCCTAGTCCCCAGCTGGAGACCTCTCCAGCGCTCAATCCAGTTTCTGTGTTTTGGTGGCTCACATTGATTAATGGTTTTATGTGTCCATAGCTACTGCAAAGTATTTAGTTTTCAACATGTAGCTTTTGGTGCTTAAAACTATTTGTATAAAAAGTACCGGTATACGCATCCTTGCCCTGTAGTAAAACTGATCAAAAAGTGAACATAAATTTAAAACTTATTTGTTTCTGTTTTGGAGAAACAGGTGTATGAAAAAGGAGAAAACCTCTAGTTTTCCCCATGTAACAGAACTCAGTTTGTTCATCTCAGGTGTCTGAACTAACAGGGGAAAGTCTACACAGTGACACTATGGGGGTGATTTACTAACCTAAACACACGCACGCACCAGGTGCGTGTGATTTTCACACAGCAAAACGTATTTATCAACCAAAAAGTCTCTAAAAGCATATTTCTACTAATGCCATATATGGAAAAATCAAGCACATGATGCATATATAATGCTGCTTCACAGTTTAGCCAAAAATGGTTAGCTCATGCATTTACATTCCTGCATTCATCAATGCAAGCAACACAACATAGAGCTAATTTACACAACATCACCTTGCAATTCATTGCAGTGCTTTGCACAACACACCTGCTGGGTGTGTACACACTACAAAGGTGTTTAGATTCCACCCATAGATCATGCTGGGAGGGAACACACTACAGAGGTGTATACATGTTCGTGTTGTGTTTATAAGGTTAGTACATCAACTCCTATGACTTTTGCCATCAATCAGAACCACTGTATGTTAATACAACTGCCATGGTGCTGTTACTTAATAAAAATGACATACTGCTTCCCCTGGCGAGCCTGGCTTGCCGTCCTTTCCATCTTTTCCGGCGATGCCCTAAAAGACAGTAACAGAAAGGCTTCAAACATTGAGGCAATACAAAGTGAAAATACCCGGCATTTTTAGTTTATTTTTTGAGGTGCTACTATAACATTTACCCCAAACTCATTCTTAAAATTGAACTTCAGGCAGATTTAAAGAACACACAAATGCAGCCCTATATTTATTAATACATTACTAGAATTTTTTTTTTTATACAAGCAGGATCAATACCTGAATTTGACTTGATATCAGCTTCTTGCAATGCATTGTACAATAGGGCACATACCTCTAAATCAGTGGTTCTCAACCTGTGTAACCTCGGGACCCACATTTGTCCTTGGTCATCCTGGGGTCTAGTGTGGGCTGTTGTGCTGTGACGGAGCTCCATCCATAGGTGCATTGCTTATACAGCTCCCGTGCGTGCCCTGTAGAGGTGTCGGGAGCCAGAATAAGACGTCACTCGGTTCCAGGCACCTCTACAGGGCATGAGAGGGAGCTGTAAGCAATGCACCTATGGATGGAGCTCCCTCACGACCATACCACCAGCCCTCCTCAGCCTCAAGCTGACACTCGGCGCCGCACAGCATGTTTTGAATGCTGCTTGGTGCGAGAACTGACTGTGTTGCGCTAGGAAGAGGCTGAGGTACCTCTTACCTGGAAAAGTGGAAGGCACGCCGCGACCCACTAAACATGTGCTCGCGACCCATCTTTGGGTCACGACCCACCAGTTGAGAACCAAGACTCTAAATTATTGAAGTCAGGTGTTTCTACTGCAGGGTACCATTAATATTGCAACATGCTACAACATTTTAGACAAATGTGCTCTTCCAGCACTGTGGTAAGACGTTTGGTGAAGGCCCTTTTCTGTTCCAGGATGACTGTGCCCCTGTGCACTAAGCCAGCTCCATAAAGACATGGTTTGAACGGTTTAGTGTGGGGGAACTCGAGTGTCCTACATAGGAATCTAACCTCAACACTGTTGATCACCTTTGGTTTAAATTGGACCACCATTTGCAGGCCAGAACTTGACCCCCCCAAATATTATTTGGGTTTATTGGGCACATCTTCCTACAGACAAGAAAATCTTGTGGAAAGTCTTCCCAGAAAAGGGAGGGCTGGTATAACCCAAACGAGGTCAACTCCATGTAAATGGCCATGATTATGAACTGGGATGCCTAACAAGCTCATATAGGTGTGATGGTCAGGGACCCACAAACTAATGGTCATATAGTAATTACATATTTCATAGTGGTCTTTCAGACTAGGCTAGAAGCATTTCAGATCCTTTCCCCTCCTGTAAGCATGTCTATTCAAAGCAATAGAACTCTGTTTGGCTCAGAGTGCTGCCCCTCCCTCTACCAGTATGAGTGTGGCAGGAAGATGATATAGTGGTGCAGGAAGCTGATATAAAGACAGATGTAGGCCCCCTTTCTAATTGCATGTAACAATCCATTTATTACTTTAATGAAAATATAACAGGATTAAATGTTTTTGTTTATATCTGCCTGGAATTAAAATGTAAAGTTTAATTTGCTGCTTAATAAAATCACAAAGATCAAAGACGGAGCCGAGTATTATCAAAGGCAGAGCTTGATCATCAACAAGGCAATCTAGGTAGAAACCTAGGGCCTGATGGATATCCAGGGGGTCCACCTACCACCTTCATGCTCCTGTAGCATACCAGAAGGATTGTGCAGTTGGTAAAAGCTGTGTGCCTGCCTGTTACTTCACAAGGGAGGATGGACTTGTACTCAGTCCGTGTCTGATGGTGCCATACCAATATAGACAATGCAAATTATATTTCTCTTTGCCTATTGCAATCTTTATCAATGTCAATCAAGGTACAAACCTAGGCCCTAGGTTTGTACCTTGATTGACATTGATAAGAATTGTAATTGCAGAATTGTAATTGTAACCTGCGTTGCAGCAAGAAATAAAATACTTTGTTTTTGGAGAGTCGGACCACTGCTCCGTCACACAGAGGTAGCCCAGGTGTCCAGTGGTTCGAAATGCCCCCCTGCACTTTCCTCCAATTAACAGCACTGCTCAGGAAGCTAGAGTACTGTTGATCAGAGCAGTGTGCAACAGGCAATTTGTACCCCTGCCCACTTCTTACCGGTGAGAGCAGCAGTCTGACTCTCCAAGGTGTTGCCAACAGAGGAGATTTTAATACTTGCTGCAACACTTAGGACTAAAAAAAAACAACAGCATATTTTTTACTGTATATCCAGCTACAGTGCATCCAAGTAATAAAAGCAGAGGGTTCATTTGAGCTTTAATCCATTTATATTGATTGATTATAGGCTTCAAGTATGAGGTGTATAACCAAAGAACAGTCTGTTTCCTTCTTAGCATCTACTCATGTTCTACACTGTTCCAGCAAGAACAAACAAGAAATGGATTGCTTGCAAGGAGGGAGAAAAGTTCTACAGTCAGATAATTTATACATAAGGCTCATTATAAGATGATATGCATTTATCTAATATAAACAATAGAACAAAAATGTAACATGTAAAAAAATAACATTTAAATCTAGGACTGCCCCTGAAGATACGATACAGCACAAATGTTTATACTAACTGTTAGTCCAGGTAATCCGGGAGGTCCTTGAGGTCCAGGAGGGCCCTCTTTGCCCTGAAAAGGAACGTAGAAAAATAATCTATAGACTGTAAACTCTGTGACATCATTCCCAGAAAAAAATTAAAATCTGTTTTTGAGGTTCAAATTGTTTTAATCCGGAACAAAATCAAGAAAACATGTACAAAAACAGCATCAGTGTTGTTATCTCTTCCTTATCGGGGAAAAAGGCTGCTGATTACTTTAGCTCAGCGCTCATTTAAGCAAACTTCACTCCCAACAATCGCAGGCTTCAAATAAAATCTTGTAATTGCATTTTTCTTTGTGAAATGACCCCCAGACCATTGCAATTACTAATCCTAAGAAGCATACATTCAAGCGGCGCAAAAATGATTGAGCTTTCAATTTATTTTTATAATTGCACTCATTTTGTACAAATTTAGAAAGTGTTATTTTATTGCATTTAGAAAGTGTTATTTTATTGCTCCTGAAATAAAAGAAGCTTGAAACATTTCACCGCTTAGATTGGATGTTAGACAACTCAGTGAGACTGGCGCAATCACAAACTTTTCCGACAGAAACAATAATGTTAAATCAGAACTAAACTCATTCTTGGTACTTCTCTGATCTGCAAGCATACTGTGCATACCTCCTGTAGATACCTCTTGCTTCTAGGGCGTAACTATAGCAATCGCAAACAATGCAACTGCTATTGGGCCCGAGCTGTACTGGGGGCCCAACACTGTCTATCTACATGATAATTTATACAGGTTGTAATAGCCTTTGGCAAATACATTTGGATAACTGAATGTATCAACCTCATATATAGGTTCCCAAAATTGATGGTACAAAGACAAAAATGATTATGTATTGCAAGAAGGATTGCCTTGAGGATGGAGTCTTCCTCATCCTCATGGTGGATGCATCCTCCTCTATCCTCCAGGGTGGATAGAGTCTACCCTCCATCTTCAAGGCAATCCTTCTTGCAATAAAATAATTTTGCTATGGGGCCCTCTCATTTAGTACAGGTATCTATGTAGCACCGACAATTTACATAGTTACATAGTTACATAGTATTTGAGGTTGAATAAAGACATTAGTCCATCAAGTCCAACCTATTAGGATCTCATTCTAGGAGATGAGGGAGGAAACCCACACAAGCACAGGGAGCACATACAAACTCCTTGCAGATAGTGATCTGGCTGGGATTCAAACCGGGGACCCCCAGTGCTGCAAGGCAGAAGAGCGAACCACTACAACACTGTGCTGTCCATCTCATCAGTAGTTAAACCCCTGGATACCTTTTAAGTCCTCCAAAGCTGTGCCATTTTTGAGATGTTGTTTGTTTTGGTCAGTGAAGTCGCTTGCTCATGCGCATTTTATCCTCCATTCATGCCACACTATCCATGATGAGATCTTGCAAGCCTCCTGAAGCATTAAAGGAGAACTATGAGGTGAGTGCTTTTCAATCACCTCATAGTTCTAGCCGACCTGTGACAATGAGACTGTCACAGGAACTATGGGGAAAAGCCATGACCCCCTAGTTCTCCTTTAAGTTGGCCATACCCCTGGAGATTTTTCTTGTTCAGCCCCATGGGCTTGATTTCCACATCCATGATAAAGAGCGTGGATGGGAGAATCTTCCCTGCCGGCTATTGTATTTTGACAGCTGTCTTCGACAAAATTAGATTGAAAAAAAACCAACAATTGTCAAGACGGCGGTGCTGGCGGAGCAACCCACTGCACAAGGGTAGCAAGTGGGCAAAAATATTCTCGGTGGGGTCACAAACACAAACCTAGTTCTCTCCAAAATCAAACGATTACTGAGCAGTACATAGTTTAAGTGGCTGTTCATCAAACTTAAAAAAAACAGTGAAAGAAGTGTTTGCATTTTGCCCACATGCAACACCTGGTACCGCCCAGCTCATGAACCCTCTGTATGCCTCATAGGCATGAATGTTTCGCCAGATGTGGTGGCCATCGTACTCAGCACTTCATTCATTACCCCCCCTAGTCAGAGCGTGACTGAGGAACCCCTACTTACACTCAGACTGCTGAATGTGCCTTGCACCACGACTAGATATTGTGCTAATATGTAACATGCAATATGTAAACAAAATGACTCCACATTACTTAAATACTATCTACACCTACTGCACCAAGCGGAAATCAGATGCAGAAGCTGTACCAACTGCTATCAAGAGTTTGTCTCTAAATACACCTTTGTTCTGATACCCTTTGGGTTACCTCTTCATGATGTTGCCACATAGGCACCCTGTATTGTACTGTTTTGTACCGTTTGTCGAAATACTATCAATAAAAATGTATTCGATAAAAAAAAAAGAAAAAAGAAGTGTTTGCATTGTACCAGAATCTGACCAGAATCTGACCAGAATCTGACTGACTGGATCTGTTAGCAGTTGATTGATACGGTCACCACTGTGGAAATAAAGACTTCATGTGTTAATTGCCGGCCTTTTTCTTTTTTCTCTCCACTGAGTTCCTAACTTCCTGCAGTGAGCCGATAACACTGGTCTCTTCTGCACTGAATCCCAAGCAGTGTTGTCAGCTCTGCCCTGGGGGTCTCTAATTCTGGACTACAGAACACTCTCCCTCCACCTCATCTCCGTGACATAAGGTGGTACATTGTGGTTATGTGATTGTGCTTACTTTCTCTCCAGAGGGGCCAGGAGGTCCAATGGGTCCAGGAAGGCCATCAGGTCCCTAAATGTCAGCAAAACAAATGATTAATGAGACACTTTATTAATAAAGGTCTGTCAGTGTAATACATTATTGTTATTGCAATCAAATCGACACACCTTTTATTTTAAACAGAGGCCGTATAAAACAGTGAAATTGAAAAGCTCAGACAAACAAATCTGGTCAGCAATTGGGGAAAATAACACACTGACAGGATCTACTTTGCAGAACGCTCAGGGCATGTAGAATTTTGCATTGCTATATTGATGCTGCAAATAAAGCTGAAGCATTCTGACAATGACCATCTCATTGTCCATAAATAGTCTCTTTAAAGTGACACTAAACTCCGGAGTTAAATGTTAAAAATACATTCAAGTTCCTTAACGATGAACAACAATGTATCTTATTTGTGTATCACTCGTCTGTAGATCCTCCAATCATCTCTGAATTGGTGCTGACACTGTCCTTCCTTCTGGAGGGTGACTACTTTTGTTCCCCGTGGTCCCTGTGTGCTGTAAAGTAGTTACCACTCCAAGATTGCTTCCGGGATGGACTACAATCTCAATACAAAATGAGTAAACTAAACATGAGATTATAGTCCATCCCGGGAGTGAGCTTGGAGCAGTGACCATTTGGAGCGGTGAGACGAGTGGACGCTCACCCAGCGGGATAAGGTATGCCACCGGGTCCCCGCCTCTCTCAAAAAAACTGTCGGGCTCTATGACTGAATGCCCGACTTTTCGGTGGTGGTGACACCAAAATGACTGTCAGTCATTTTGGTTTCACCCCTCCAATGGTGTTACACCCTCCCCCCCCCACACACACACCCCTTGTGACGCCACTGGGTATAACCAACATATTATAATCTTGAGCTGAAAGAAACATTTTCTATGCCTTTAATAGGAAAAACATTGTTCCTTCATGTGAACAAATGCCTAGACCAAGGTGTTTCATGTCATAAGAGACTCCAGAGAGTATTGCTTTCAGTCTGACAGACCCTGTCCGGCAGCAGTGTGGTAGGAGGATCAGCAATGCTAAACTGGAAGCACATCCGGTATTGAGCAAATACTGTATGGCGGCCACCATGTATATTAAAGTTTATATACTAATAACAAATGATAAAAGGTTGAGCTTTTTAAAAAATATATATATTATACTGTCGCTGTATATTGTGACACGTCAGGAATGTATTCATGCAGAGATGAAAAGTTAACAAGAGTTCCACTGCCCCATAATTACTCCATTGTATTTTAGCTTAGCATGCCTATTATATTCCATTGTATAATAATGAAGATATTTCTCATTGATATCTGCAAGGTAAGCAAGTACTTACGGGCGGTCCTGAATTACCCTGAGATCCGATGAAGCCTGGCCTGCCGGGAATACCCTGGTATAAGACATAATTGACAGATGTTTAGAATATTTTTATCCTTATCCTTAATACTTATCCTTGGGAGTCAGTATAACCTGCAATCTATTATACACTTGGGGTTGATTTATAAACAACTCACAGGCCTGTTTGCCCTGTAAATATCTGTGAACATTCGCTGTGGTTCTATTCTTAGTGTACGTTCACACCACATGCAGTGCGTTCCAGTCCGATTCTGGTCGGAACGCACTGGATCGCATTGCGGCCAACTCACTTTTTTGTGGGGCAGAGGGGGCGTTGTGGGTCATTGAAGTGAATGGCACCGTAGCCACGTCCTCCGGCCGCAATGCGATGCGGCCCGGTGCGATCAAAATTCTGCAAGCAGTCCGGGCGGGCGAACGCATTACAGCCTGAGGGCGTGGCTATGGTGCCATTCACTTCAATGACCCACAAAACCCCCTCTGCCCCACAAAAAAAGTGAGCCGGCCGCAATGCGATCCAGTGCGTTCCGACCAGAATCGGACTGGAACGCACTGCATCTGGTGTGAACCTACCCTCAAAGCAGACCTTTACACTCAAAAATAGAATTCTACCCATGCATCCCCTATGTATGATGATTAATAATAACATAGACATGTCAGGTGATTGTGAAATACTTACACTTGCAGAGCGTTCACTTCCTGCCTTGAAAAGATCAAAATGACTTCAGTTTGCCAAAGCAATGCACACTGGGATTGCCTTGTCATCTCAGGGAAAGGCATTTTCCTCCCCTGAAATTATGTGCATGAGCACATGTCCTAGTCGCATGTGCCAGAGTTCCAGGAAGTAAAGGGAGAGCTAGTAATCATCTACCCTTAGTAAACATGGCCACTTTTAGAAGATTGGGGAAGAAAAGAAAAATAAGGGCTGCAAAGAATAGAAAGCTGGCAATTATCTAGAAGTATCTGTTTGTAGATTGTCATTACTAAATGTTTCTAAAGGTGTGTTTGTTTTTATTTTGAAGATATGGGTAAAGGTCCGCTTTAGAGTTATTTTCAGATGTCTTATATGTATTACCACACAGTGGCCACTAGGGGGTGCTAAAGGGGCACAGGAAGCAGGTATTTATTTTCAATGCTCCTCAGCTCCATCTAGTTGCCATAATGCGATATTACAAGCAGCATGTTCAAAATGAACGATAGAATGTTCATTTGTGCATATATGGGCAGAGAACAAATGTTCACAGATATTCAGAGGGCAAATGACATTGCAAGCCTTAAGCAATCTGAAACACAGACGAAATAATGTGACAACACAAAAAAAAGGGTCAAAACGAAAATATAAAAAACACAACAAAAAAAGAAAGCTAAACTCCTTTAAATACAGACCCTCTAAGTAGAAAGAAAAACATATTTTTTTAAAGCAAATTTCAGCTAAGCAACCTCTAGCCTCTCCGCCCACCAGTCCTCCCCTAACCATTCTCAAGGCCCCCGCCCCTCACATGTATTTTATGACAAAAGTTTTCTGGTCAGTCATGTGACCCGCAGGGTTCTCTTCTTCTCTGGCTATGGTCAGTCCTCAATGATGCAAAGAGTGGCGATGACCTCACCATATTCTTCGTATTTTTGGACTGTGGTTGCTGGCGGAAGTGGTACCACACCCCCAGCGGGTCTGTCCATGACGCTCTGGGATCACGGGAAATGCTGGGTGTCATTTAACCCAGAAGAGAACCAGCACTGGATTGCAGAGGGGCACGTCTACGGGGGGACAGCAGCACCAGCCAGGAGGTGAATATTGCAGCCAAAGCTGCTTTATTTAACATGCTGGGCTGCAAAAATGGAATTGGGCTTTAAACCCTAAAAACAGGAATCTCATAAATGTGTCTCTAAAAAATGTTTGTCTTTAATTGTAGATATTGAAGAATTTGCCGTCTACAGGAACTTTGTATACAATGTCTATTATGTATATATAATGTCCCTTGGATTTTACCTGTTCACCTTTTGGTCCAGCTTCTCCATCTGGCCCTCGGTCTCCTTTGCTGCCCTAAAACAAATTATGAAGAGTCAACACCACACAGCACACATCATCTTTAACCACTTCAAGACCAGGTGTTTAGACCCCCTTCCTGGCCAGGCCATTTTTCAGTGTTCAGCGCTGCAGTCCTTTGACTGACGTTTATTCCGTCATGCAACGCTGTACTGAAATGAATTTTATACCCTTTTTTGGGGACAGATAGGGCTTTATTTTGGGGGTATTTAATCACCACTGGGGTTTTTATTTTTTATTATAATTAGGAAAAATTACAGAAAATTTTGAAAAAAAAAGTTTTTTTTTTACATTATGTTAGGAAACATTTATTATTAACCAGTTTTTTGGTAAAATATAAAAGATCGGGTCACGTCGGGTAAATAGACACCAAACATGTCAAGCTTTAAAATTGCGCGCACCCGCGAAATTGCAGAAAACTACCATA